TTATAATAAAATTTGTAATAAATTTCTATGGTTAATTATTACTGTCATTTAATTTTCCCATTTAAAGTTAATATAACCTCAACATTTTGGGTTCCCTCAATATATTCCAATTTGTATGCAAACATAAACAGGAATGTTTGACAACAATTTAATTACAAATGTATTTTGTTGCTTGCTGAGCTATTGTACTAAGGATGGTAGGGATGATGCTCTGAGAGATGCTCTCTAGAACTTGACTGCTTACACCACAATAAGCACTGATAGCTTCCATAAAAATCCCTTCCTGTTGCATGAGGCTAGGCTGGATTAGTACATGTGGTTATTGAGCTTCATTTTTCTGTCATTTCCTGTTTGGACTAGGCACAGAATCTTAATGTTAGGTTGTGTAAAATGTTGGATGAAGTATTTTGTGATATTATCGGTGCTGTTAGTATTACTAATCAATTCTGATAACATCAATAATGTTATGTACAAATGAGAATTACAGAAAGTAATAACTAATATTGAATATCTATAATATATCATATATAAATAAATCTTCAAATGTAAGCATTTCTATTCTAGATAGCTAAAATAGAGCTCCTTTTAATATTTTTTTTTAACCTAAAAGTACCAATTCCTGGTTCCAGAACACAAGAAATATACATTTATATTCTATTTCTGCAGTGAACTCATTTGGATGGTCTCAAACCATACTATAGAACTCAACTCATCATGCTTGAACATAGTTTGAAACTAAAACAGTATCTTCATTAATTTCAGCATAAACTAGCAAAAGCCAGCCCACAGAATACTATATTCATACATATTGATTAATAAGATTTTTTTTTCTTCTAGTACTAAATGATGCAGCAGAGCTGGTATGCCCAGGGAAGGCCAAAGCAGACACTGCACATAAGCACCATAATTGGCCAGGGAACAAGAGGGTATAGATTAAGAAGAAGAAGAAAATAATGAAATTTGACAGAAATAAAATTGTTTGGGTATCTGCTACAACTAATCAATATCCTTTAAACTATTTTTAATTATATTTTTATCGCAATTTTTATGGCTTTGGGGCCTAAACATTATCAGTTTTACTTGTCCACCATTGCCACAAGAACAGAGTTTTTAGCCTTGACCAGTTGAGATTATCCTCTTTTGCATTGTTTATGCATATGCAAATTATCACATGCATTTTAACAATTAAAACTGATAGCCTTCTGTTGTTTCTATAGTTACTGTAAGTCCACATCTGAATTAACATTAACTAAAATGCTTAATGTCCATTTTAAATCAACACTGGAAAGCTAAAGGTGAACTTTTGAGAGATATAAAATTTCATTGAATTGTCCAGGTTCAAGAAAACTAAAGCTATGTGAATATACTGGAGCATCTCCAACAATTACAGTATTAGCTCTGCAGCAATGACTACATTAGTATCTCTGCAGGAAAATCCTGATCAGTAGGCAGTAACATCTCCCAGCTATTAATTGCTGATGTCACTTCTCTTCCAAATTCTAAAATAAAATACTGTTAACAGTAAAGCTGTTTTAATTTAATATAAGAGGAACAATTTTCTCCTCTTGTAACCAATGCTTTTTTTATAAATTACTAACTAGACACTGCTTCTGAGAACATTCAAAATCTGGAAAAAGAAATGCCTTGTAACATTTAGGAACACAGATTAAATCTGACCAAAATATTGTACTTTTTATCCTAGAATAATTATTCTGACTTTTTATTGATGAAACTTTATTTGATTGATTAAGATATTGTACTACATTACATGTTAGGTGTTCCCATAAATACTCCTAAATCAGACATATTCAACTCTTAAAATGTTTTAATAGTTACATATTTACCATTCATCAGATTTGCAGCAAAATCTGAACTCTGGTCTGATGTTAATTTACTGTGCACAAGTATTCAGGTGTAATATATAGAATATTTAGTAACTGACAAATGATATGCCAGAGTCATTACAGTCTTGATAATGAGAAACTGACTATATAGATCACAGAACACAATTGTGCAAGGTACAATATATTTGCCCAGACTGTTTTCATTCTTTGACAGAATCTAAATATGTAAACAAAAGCATAGCAAGGATCACCTTTCTGCCAAAAGCTCTGCTACACAACAGAAAATATAAGTTAGACAAATCATTCTAGTTCCAGCAGTCACAGAGGCCAATGGGATATTTGGGCCAAAGCATGCCAGAGACTCCAAACAATAATGTGAAATCTGTCTTTTTACCCTTGTGCAATGTCAAAAATCTCACGGATGATTCTGCTAGTTAAAACCATGGTAGCTCCTAATACTCTATCATTATTGTGACTATGCCAGATGAATAGAGTACAAGTGTGGCCATATTATCTTTCAAGGCCATCATGGAGGACAGCAATCTTGCAGATATCAACTATGAAAGCATTAAATGATAAAAGGCCTAATGTTTAAATTCAGATTAAACAGATCTCAATCTCATTTCAACCGTTACACTATGTGTGCTTTCCAAATTCAACTGTTTACAACTGCATATGTAGCTCCATTCCTATTTTCAAGAGCTTATAATATTGAATTATGTTCAAGAGGTCAAAGATACAGAATATACATGTAGCACTGCTCACCTATCCACTGTGAACCAAGATAAATACCTGTGACAACCTGTAGGAAGATAACTTCAAGTAAGTGCATCCACTTGAGCCTGAGGTGAAAAGGGACAACTAAATAGAGCAGAATATGCAAAATCTCTTATTTGTTCCAAGATTGTAGTAGCCAGATTGAAATAGAAATTGTACCTCAGCTGAACAATGTAGTATAGTTTTAAAATAATGTACAGAATAAATTAAGTCAAAGATATAGAGACACACTTGCAGAAGGTATTTCAGCATATTCAGTCTAACTAGAAAGATTTGATTTTAGGACTGAAGACCAACTTTAGAGACAAATTAACCAGTATTATTTTAATACTTTGTTCCTTATTTAATGTTAATTTTCACCATTAAAAATAATTCAAAGTGGAACCTTATGCATCTTAAATACAAGTTGACATCTTAAATACAAGTTGTAACATGAATGTCATATGACATTCATGTTACAACTTATTCAACTTTCAGTTTGTTCTGTTTTTTCCCTATTGCATAATGTACAGGAAAATAAACATCCTTATCATGCCCATGCTATACTGTGCCAGGTGGTAATAATAATATATTGATTAGTAGCCTTCATTAAAATAAACCAAAAGAGTGAAAGTGTTTTCAAAATAATAAATGCATACAAATACCTGACAGCACACTAACATTTTATTTTATAGTCACTAAAAATACTACAGGTAATCCTCGACTTATAACCATTCATTTACTGATTGGTTGTAATCATTAAATGACTGTTCAAAGTTACATCAGCACTGAAAAAAGTAACTTGATTATTTTTTACAGTTTTTACACCATTGCAGCATCCTCACAGTCACTTGATCAAAATTTGGATGCTTGGCAACTGACATGTATTTATGACAGTTGCAGTGTCCCAGGATAATGTGATCACCTTTTGCAACCTTCTGACAAGCAAAATCAATGGGGAAGCCAGATATATTTAAGAACCATGTTACTAACTTAACAGTGATTCACTTAACAATGCTGGCAACAAAGATCTTAAAATGGGGCAAAGCTTATTTAATAATTATCATGTTTAGCAAAGGAAATTTTGGGATCAATTGTGGTCATAAATTGAGGACTACCGGTACTTTAAAGAATGTAATTACAACTTGAATAGTTAAAGCATTGATTTGAACATATTACAACATCTGAATATCCTATTTTAGTTTCTACTTGAGAAAGATAGGTATTATTGCATGCTTAACATTTAAAGAGTATCTGCCTTTATACCACAAAAACTTTTAATATAAGCTAAAGCTAAAATAATATAGAGTGCCTATGCAACCCAACATAGTCTTACCAACAAAGAAGTTTTTACAAGAAACCTAGACTTCTCATTGTACCTTTCAGGAAACAACTGACATGTCTTAGATGATATTAGTCACAAGTATGATCACACCAAAGTCAATCAGTTGAGAACTTAGTTATGACTTACCTTTTTACCACTGATTTAAAAAGCTTAATTTGTATACAACCCAGTTCCATTATGATACTAATATAAACTATAATACCCTGTAAAGGTATTTCCAAATTTTTGTGTTAACTGCTTAAAATTAAATTGTGTATTCTTAAAACTGGAACAGTCTTGCTTAAATATATTTTAAAACATACAAACCAAATAGAGATACATTGCTCAGATACAATCAGTTATATTTTATGAAGGGTGAATATAAAAATTAGCCAAAGGAATCCTCAATAAAATGTGCATCTGCTTGCCATGTAAAGTTGGAGGTTTAAATTATAGCTTCAGAATATTAAAAAAATACTTCACTTAAGTATTGCTTTCCTCAGAATGACAAGCAAAAAACTAGCTGCATCAATAGCTACAGCATTCAATTACTAAAAACTGGAATATTTGTCCAATTTTAAACCATATTACAATTTAAAAAACCATCTAAGCACAGATAGTGGAGATAAAAATTGATTTCTTTTTTAAATTAAAAGATTTATTATAGAACCAATGAGTAAGGTACTTTTGATCAGGTATGGAAATACCCACTGTTCTTCAGACATCAAATTATATATTACAAATGCAGTGTTGGAGACAATAAGTCAATAGTAACTGTTTGAGATGGATGTGCAGTATCTGCATACAAGTCATTTCTCAGTTTCAAGTGTATAATGGTGCAATGAGAAGATTGTTGTCAGAATAAGTTCAACAATTATTTTTAAACACTTTACCAAATAAAATTGTTTATTCATTGATAAATAATTTCTTAAAAACCAATCCCTTGGGCAAAATTTTATAAAATCTGAAACATGCAAATCAACATTTCAGTCTTCAAAGAGTTAGCAATATTAAAGTAACTAATACTAAAGAAAGCATGCTCATAAAATTTTCTTGAGAAATTTAAAATGTCTTACCTTTCCAGTCTTGTGGTCAAACCAGACAAGTGCATGATTCCGAGACAGGACTTTACAGTCAAAGGTGGCATTATTTTGAGCTGGTCGACATCGAGCCACTGATCGTCCAATTTTGACAGGCTCATCCAGGTAGACATGGCGTTCTTGAAATGGATGAGAGTTCGGGCGGCAAGTAAAGATAGCCAAGGCTGAAGGCATTGAGGATAGATATGTGGTGCCACACCAATCAGGAAAGAAGAGAAACTCTTCTTGATCCAAGCTCCCCTCCACAGTTGATAAGCAAAGCTCCCACTATACTTCACATTAAAGCAGGACAAACATTACCTGCCATCAAGATCTAACAACTCATACCTCCAGTCTGTGAACTAACGCAGGCAATAATCCAACAGAGAAGCCCCATTGCTTTCTTTAAAAAAGGTCTGTAGCAAGTTTAAGTAGTTCCACTTTAATCCATCTCCCTCAATGATGTGAACAAGCATATGACCACTCCAAAAAGAAACAAAACTTGTTCAAATTAAGGTGGAGATAGTTGTAAATCCAAGTGAATGACTCACCCAAAAAATACTTGTTTGGGATGTACACAGCACTCTTATCCATACGCAGCACTCTTATCCTCTTCCGTAATCACTGCCCAAGCTTTTCTTCACCAGAGGAGCAATAAAAAATTTCAAGAGAGAGGGACTCAAAGAGGTTTTACAAGAGAGGAGTTAAGAACTGGAGAACGATCCAGGGATAAGTCTGTGGTTCATCCGTTCACACATCAGCAGGATCAGAAAAGGGAGGATGCCTTGCTAAAACAAAAACAAAAAAAAAGGTTCTCCCCCCCCTCCCTAGGCAGCATAGGCCCAGACTCCAATATTCAAGGAGCCAACGGAAACCCCAGTGCGATCATGAAGGAAATGCAAGTATTTCCCCATACATCTTAGCGCAATACACCTGGCCACATATCCGAGCCAGCGAATACCACGGGTCTCTCTCGAGCGGAGAGAGAAACGGACAGGAGGCTGGTCAGCCAGATGCGGACGTCGGATGAAAAGCAGGGCTCCACTGGGGTCCCTTCCGCCGAGGGACTCTTAAACCAGCGCAGATAACTTATCGGGGAAAGAGGAGGAAGCCATCCGGCGGCTCTCGCTGAGGAGGTCTCGGGGCAAACGGCGGCAGAATCTCCTCAGGAAACTGGGAGGGCGAAGGCCGGTGGAACCGCGGGCGACCAAGAGTCGGGACTGCAGGTGGCTGCGAAAGGGAGGGGGGAGGATTTTCACTCCCTTCCTGAGGCGCCTTTTTCTCGCCCTGCCGGAGCTCTGTCCCGCTCCCGCCCCAGGAGAGGCCTGGAGGCCGGACGCCTTACGAACTGGGTGTCAAGCGGCCGCTGTGCACGAAAACTTTCCCTCGACCTGTAAAATCAAAACAAACCCGGTCAGCCTTCTGGGCTCAGGCGGGCCCCGGCTCGCCCGCCCCTCGCGGGGTTTCTCGGCTCGCTCGAGGCGCGCAGGGCGAAAGGACAGCGGAACGTACGAGCCTCAGCGCCCTCCGCCCGCCCGCCAGCTCGCCCGCGCGCTCTTACCTTCCCCAGCAGCAGCAGGAGCGGCCATACTGACTGGAAACCTACCCGGTGTAGCAGCAGCCGCTGCCGCCGCCGCGCTGCCGGGGAGGGGAAAAGGGAATGAGAGGGGTGGAGCTGCCTTCCAATGGGCCTGACCAAGAGAAAGGCTGACGGCCAGCCGGGCGCTCTACGCAGGCGCAAACTGGGAACGCGCGACAGGGAGACATGCGCAGAAGGAAGCACTGAAGCTCTTGGTTGGCGACTGGCAAACCGTGCTTGCCCGTTCCCTGGGAATGCGCTGCTGGCGCTGTTTCCGGGTAGGTTTTTTTTTTTTTTAAAGGATTAAAAACTCACCCGAGGACTAAATAGAGAGGCCTCGGCCACCGAAGGAAATTTAAGTTGTGCAGATTTTCCCTCCAGGAAGGGAGGTAGGGGTGAAAGCATAACGTTGAACGGCAAGAAGTGAAAAAGCAAGCAGCCAGTAGCTTTACCTGAGAAAGACGAGAAATCTAAAGCAAAATTGGATATCGTTAGTCCACGGGACGAGTGGGAAAACTTTTATTTCACACCTTTGGAAATGCCAAAGAGACATAGATCTTGCGAAATTGTTGCAGCAAGAAATCGAGGCGGAAACCGTGTACAGTATTCATTTCCTTCGGAATAATATATATATTCTATAACTGTTTATTAAGCAGTTTATTCGAGATTTATTCCAGTGTAAGTGAGGATCAGTTTGCAGATAGTTCTTCAGTCCTTCGTTCCCTTTGCCACAAATACCTCCTGTATTTTCATTAACGATACCAGGAGGAGACATGTCAAACAAAACAAAATTTAGAATTATCTTGAACTGGAAGGTTGAGTACAAATCAACAAGAGCAACATTAGCAAATCCAAGGTCAAACTTAAATGTTGAGGAAACAACAGTACAAGGGCAGGAGATTTACAGAACATCATTTAAATTAGTTGGGCTATAGTCCAATTCTGCTTTGTTCATGGGAGTAAGTCCCACTGAACAAAAGGTTGCATTTGTGAAACTCCTCTAGTTAATGGATTGTTACTCAGCCCAATTTCCTGGATTCACATGATGCATTAAATTACCCAGGAACTGCACTCACACAACTAGGTTAAAATAAATAATTTATGGCTGTTGTGCAAATATGTCACTTGGTACAATTAACTGTTTTCAAATTAATTTGTTTTTTCATATTCAATATTCAAACCAGTTATTTAAAAAATTAAAATAAACATTGGTTCTGTTGACATGAACACATTGAATATGGAGTATTTGTCCAGATTATATGAGCTCTGCTAATGGATAATTACATATCCTTTAAATTCAGTAAGTTAACAATGGTTAAGTATGTCATTGTAAACACACCTATTTAAATGTATATAATTTTGTAACAATGATAAAATCCCAATTACAATTGCTTAATTTTTTCAAATCACAATAGCTGGTTTTTAAACGTGAGCATTCTCTCTCAATCACAGGCCTTGCTAAAAATCATTTCCTTGCCAACACTTTAACTTTTTTCCATATAGATTGCAATCCTGATGTCAGGGACTCATTGTATTTGTAAGACTTCTTTTAGCAGCATGCAAAGTATTCTATTTTCGTACTTCTCCCCATTCTGGTATACATGTAATTCTTTATAATAGAGGTTTAATATATCTGAATCTTAAACAAGTCCAGTTTTGGATGTGTAAAAAAAACAATTTAAAATCAAATTGAAGATTTCACTTCCAATTTACAGACATTCAAAATGGTGACAATTTCAAGATTATATGATGCATTAAGCCTCAGGTAAAGCTCCAAGTGCAATTAGGAATCCATGTAGGTCTTTACCGATCCATTTCTGGATCAGTGTGAATACCAAGTTGATTTGATCACAGTGTCTAGACTCAATTCATGTTTGTCTAGTTTCTATTTATATACAGTTATTGAGTTATGGCTACAACTGGGACTGGAGCTTCTGTGGCTAAATAAAATGGTCATTAAGTGAATGATTTTACCAGATTTTACAAACTTTTATGCTGTGGTTGTTAGATCTTGCAGTCATTAAGCAAATTCAGTTTCCTTCCCATTGACTTTGCTTTGTTGGAATCCAGTTGGCAAGGTGGCAAATGGCAGTCATGGGACTCCGGGCCAATGCAAGGACAGTATCTTAAACACATGCTGGTTGCCAAGAGCCCAAATTTTGATCATGTGACTGTGAGGATGCTGCAACAGTTGTAAGTACAAGAACTGGTTGTACGACTCTTCAGTGCTGTCTTAACTTTTAACAGTTACTAAACTAATAAGTTGAGGACATAAGTTTAGTATCATACTAAATCAAAGGCACACTTCATTTTGGCTTAGCGAGTTTTCTGAATCAATTGGATCAAAATCTAAACTGTAAGTTAAATTGTGCTAAAAGAAGAGCTTAATCACAATTTGTAACCATGATTTCACTGAAGGCTAGTTCACTTTAGTACAGCAAGACAACTAGTCTTAGACTGTTGGTTAAATCAGGGGTCTCCAACCCTAGCCATTTTACGACTTGTGGACTTCAACTCCCAGAATTCCTCAGCCAGCATTCGCAAAGTCGTAAAGTGGCCAAGGTTGGAGACCCCTGGATTAAATTATGATTTAGGAATTAATTTCTTCAGAAAAAAATGGTAGGGAAGAAAGCAATACAATCACAAACCAGAGTGGGTCTTATAGAGTAGAAGGATTCCCTCTGTCTGTTTTTTGCTGCTGCTTCCATCCCCAGGTACACAAGGAGCTATTTTCAAAACAAAGAGGCTAGGAGTAAATTAGCTTTGCATGCATGTTACCTCACTGAACTACCATGATTTGTTTCAATAATTCAAATAAATAAAAACAAACAGGAATAATTGACTTACTAAGCACAACAAAGTTGACTAGGTTACCAAGTGAAACAGTAAATTGTCAAGACATGTCTGTAGTTTGCTAGGCGTGGCCCTTAATGATGATTAATGCTGAATCTGCCTTACTTTGTCACATAAACAAGCCAGCTGTGTTCATACCAGCGCATTAATCTGCAAACTAACTAAATGCATTGCATGAGTGCTGTGCATAGCTTCAGAAGAATTGCTTTTGACTTCGCTCAAACATAGCACCTTTGTATGATTTATTAAATCACACGAGCCTTTTTTCCAGTTTCCATGAGAGTCTGAGAAATAATGCTGCTGTTTTTAAGAATTGCATTAAACATATACTGCTTTAATGATTTACTTCATTACAGCAGTAGCAAAGGCATCCTGAGGATCGAGCGCTTTTATCAAAAAGTTGAACATAAGATCACATTGTCGCAATGCAACCTCTATCTCTTCCATGACTGCTTGTTTATAAAGGACACAGCTTGCACAGAAGATGCAGAGCTTGTGTTGCCTCACCGCAAGGCTATTTTCATCATTTGCTCTTCCTTCTGGATGCTCTTGAGCAGCAACATCATTTTTACACTTGCACAAAAGATCTGAAAAAAGACACTCAGATTTTAATGAGCTGCAAAAAGGTGTTATACTCATTGAAGATCCGAAGCACTTCTTTCTGAATCATTTCTGAGGCAATTATATTTCAGTTAAAGTGTTTTATGCAATGTCAATTGAGATGGTCAATTGATGGTGTGCTGTGATATATAAAACCAGAAAAGTTAGTCATTATAAAACATAGTTAAAATAGCAATGATATGTTGGACAAAATCAGCCCCTTTAAAACCTCTGATTATAGATACCGAGTCAGATGTTTTAAAGGGAAGCATAAGGAAAGGATAAGTAACCTGGTGCCCTCTAGATATACCTAATTAGAGGGCACCAAGTTACCTATCTTTTCCCTATGCTTTATTAACCTATGTTAATAATGTTAATGCTCGAGGTCTAACAGTTTCTGGCATTTTTTCCATCTCCTTCATGATCTTTTCATTCATGCCCTGTTGCTCAATTTGCAGTTCCCTTGTCTCTGTCTTTATGTCTTTTATTAGTTTATTAAAATATTTAAATGCTACCTATCAGCTAAGCAATGCTTCCCAAAACCAGGTAAACTACCCAAAATTGGGTAAAAGGGGGAGAGTTTGGGGGGGGGGGATAATGACACATAAATCCATTATCAAGTCACAATAGGGACATTGAAATAAGGCCTTTCTGCTAAGTAGTTTTGATAATGAAGGATAAAATTTGGGGCTAGACGTGTCATGCGCCATTCCCAAGTTCAGTTTAGTGAAGGGAAGGAAAGTTGCAATCTGTCATATGACGCCACTGTGACAACGTGAGTTTGACATTCCTGATCTATAGTACATTGATTTTCAACAATATTATTGGACTTCTATTTCTATTTCTTTCTAGATCTCATGCCCTTTATCTCAGCTATCGTTTTGGGCACAACTTCAGAGATACCAGAGTTTTTCCATTAGTAAAGACCACAAGAATCGTTTGGATGTACTGTAAAAATAACTATACTTTTGGTTAATTTAATTTGAAAATTTCAGGTAATTTGAGAGAGGGCTTTTGAACTAAAATTTATCTTTTTTTATATCTAATGTTGATCAATCTTTAAAACATTTGAGGTGCTTCAAGAAGTATTTTTTAGATTGCCTAAAATTGCTAAAAGGCAATATTCAACTAAAATATCTTATGACCAAAAAACTTATATTAACACTGGAAAGAGGTTTCAGTTATACTAAACTAACTCCATAATTTGAAGACAATTGAAGAGTATTAAGATAAATTGAATATCTGCAAGAAATTTGGTATAGAGTTAGGATATTTTCTTTAACAAACCAATAAATAGAATTTTAAATAAAGCTAATTGTATCTCTTCTTTATTAATTTAATTTGTATCCCACATTTTATTATTTTTACAAATAAGGTGAAGAAGCTATCCAACACACCTTCCTCTCCTATTTTTCCCCACAAGCTACAGTGCTATGAGTTGAGTTGGGCTGAAAAGAGTGACTGGCCCAAAGTTACACAGCTGGCTTTCATGGCTAAGGCAGGACTTGAACTCATGATCCCTTGCTTTGTAGCCTGATGCCTTAACTGTTAGATCAAACTGGCTTTCTTTATATGACTTTTAGATGAAAATAATTCAGCGGAACATTTTGTAAGTTTAGTTGATGATTATCAACTAAAGGATATTT